ATCAGTCTCGTTTCTAAACAATTATAAAATGTGGAAGACAAAAGTATATGCTTTCATATTTAAGAAAAGGTAATAAAATCATTTTTAATTTAATCATTTTAATTATATATGCACACTCCTAACAGTTTCCCTGCAGGTCAACTTTCTAGATATCCAAGAGCCAATAAAACTAGCCAAAACATAAGTCTCTTCCCAATGGTGGGATGTCAACCAACCTTCTCTTACTGCCTTAGTGCGTGATCACCCCAGCTGGGCTCTCTCCTACTCATCTCTCTTATTTCTCCATCACTCAGAATTCCCTCTCTATTGCTAAGGAAATCTTTCTTTGTCAATGCCTTGATCCTGTCAAATAGAAAAGAACAAAGCAGTCTTCCAGAATACATTGCTTGCACCTGGCACTCAGTACCTATTTCTCCATTCATGCCCAAGTCTAAAGAAGTAAACATATCAATTCTGTATTTCAAGTATCTGCACACAATTGATAGACCAAAATTATTTATAATGTTGTCAATTACATTGACACAGGAAAACCACACAAATTATGGTAGGCAACAGAATAGAGTAGAAAGAATGTGATTTGGCATCAGAGATGGGTTTGTACTAACTCTACCACTGAAACTTTGGAAAATGTTAAGTATATCTGCCTTTCTTGTCAGGCAGATGACAAAATGAGCTTACAAGGAAAGTATTTGGTACATGATAAAACACCAAATATTTTATCGATAATGATATGATTATTAATAATTTCCAAGTAATCTTTAATCCAATGTGTTCCCACTGGTTCCAAGACTCAAATGAGTTTCACAAATCCTCTCCCTTTTACAAGAGGGCAAAAGAAAAAGATAATCAAGACAAACAGAATAGCATGCACCCCAGTGTACACTGCAGCGCTATTTACAATAGCCAAGATATTGGAAGCAACCCAAATGCCCATGAATAAACAATTGGATAAAGAAGTTGTGGTACATATATACAATGGAATATCACTCAGCCATTAAAAAAATGAAATCTTACCATTTGTAACATGAATAGATCGAGAGGGTATTATGCTAAGTGAAATAAGTCAGACAAAGAAAGACAAATTCCATACAATTTCACTTACATATGGAATCTAAAGAACAAAATAAACAAACAAAATATTAAAACAGACTCATAGATGAAGAGAACAAACTGGTGATAGCCAGATGGGAAGGGGGCTGGAGGTTAGATGGAAAAGGTGAAGGGATTAAGAAGTACAAATTGGTAGTTACAAAATAGTCATAAGGATATGAAGTACAGCATAGGGAATATAGTCGATAATATTGTAATAACTGTGTATAGTGCCAGGTGGATACTAGACTAATCGGAGGATTACTTCGTAAATTATATAAATGTCTAACCATTATGCTGTCCACCTGAAACTAATTTAAAATAATACTGAATATCAACTATACTTGAAAAATAAAAATTAAAGAAACAACAACAAAAGACAAACAGAATAGCCTATAATATATATATAATGAAACTAGTTTGCTTAGGTGTCCGACTTGTTGTCCTGGAACAGAAACAAAAATATTTGAACAAAGCCAGCAGTCTGAAAAAACTCTTAGTTTCCCAAGGGGAATACATTCATTTACATGTGTAAATTAAAGTATTATTTCCCATTCTGTGTATAGTTCATTTGGTTCTCATTATTTTATAGGCCTATCCTTAAAAATAGGTAATAAAAAAAAAAGCCTGTGGTGAGTGATGGCTGCAATACAACACTAAAATATAAAATGCAAGAAATGAAGGCTAAAATGGGAAGCCAACTGAGATTGTGAATGCAAAAATCACACTCAAAACCAAATGCCTGACAACATGATAAAGAATCAAAAAGATGGCCTTTTGGCTCTCTGAGCAGCAGCACTGTGGCGATCAGCAAGAACAAATGCCTTACAAAAGGCAGCAAAAAGGGAGCCGAGAAGAAAGTGGCTGACCCATTTTCTAAGATAGACTGGTATGATGTGAAAGCACCAGCATTGCTCAGCATAAGAAATATTGGGAAAACACTAGTCATAGAACTTTAGGAATCAAAATCACATCTGATGGTCTCAAGGGTCATGTTTTTGAAGTGAGGCTAGCTTATCTACAGAATGATGAAGTTGCATTTAGAAAATTCAAGCTAATTACTGAGGATATTTAGTGCTAAAACTGCCTAATTTCCATGGCATGGATCTTACCTGTGACAAAATGTGCTCCATGGTCAAAAATGGCAGACCAGGACTGAAACTCACGTTGATGTTAAGACTACCGTGGTTATTTGCTTCATCCATTCTGTGTTGGTTTTACTAAAAAATGCAACAATCAGATTTGGAACACCTCGGAACACCTCTTTTGCACAGCAGCAACAGGTCTGCCAAATTTAGAAGATGATCAAAATCATGACCCAAGAGGTACAGACAAATGACTTGAAAGAAGTCATCAATAAACTGATTCCAATTGGCAGTAAAAACAGTAAAAACTTGTTAATATTCAGCGTTGGTATGAGTAAATTGGCACTGACATACAAAACCGGTGGGACAATGATCAATATGACCTCTCTGTAGGATAGTTTGACAAAATGCATCAAAAGCTTTTAAAATGTGTCATCTTTCCAAAGTCAGTCATTACAAGAAAACTACAAGCCAATATCCCTCATGAACACTGAAGCCAAGACCCTTAACAAAATATTAACAAATGGAATCCTTCAATAGGTACAGGAAAACATATCATAATGAAGTGAAATTAATCACAGGAATTTAAGGTTGGTTCAAAGCTAGAAAATCAACTGAACAACTATATGTTCCCTTTAATAGCTACCAAAAATCATCTGACAATTCACTGTCCATTTCTGATAAAAACACTAACCCAACTAACAGAATGAATCTTTCTCAACTTGATAAAGGTATTTATAAAAACCTGTAACTAACATCAGACATAATGGTCAAAGACTGAATGTGTTTCCCCTCTGTAAGATCAGGAACAAGACAACAATGTCCACTCTTACCACTGAGTAAGAAAATGAAATAAAAGGCACACAGATTGGAAAGAAAGAAACGAAACCAGAAACCATCTTTATTCACAAAAACCATGACCATCTGCAGAGAAAATCGCAAAGAATCTCCAAAAAAAAGCCACTGGAACTACCACGTCAGTTTAGAATGACGGGTATACAAAACTTAATTGTATTTCTACATACTCGCAACAGAATTGAAAATTAAAATTTTAAAAGTACCATTTACAATATACCATTTAAAACTGTGAAATAGTTGAGATGAATAGAAAAAATATGTGCAAGATGTACATGCTTAAAACTATAAAGCAATGTTAAAAGACATTAAAGAAGGCCTAAATAGATGAAAAGATATGTCATATTCATGAATCAGAAAACTCAATATTGATGTAAATTCTCCCCAAATAGATTTATAGATTCAATGCAATTTCGATGAAGATACCAGTGGGGTTTTTGTAAAAATTAACCAGCTGATTAAAAAACTTTCATAGAAATGAAATGGTCCAAAAATCTCCAAAAAAAACTTTAAAATATCAAGTTGGAAGACTCACGCTACCCGACTTGCGATTTACTATAAAATTACATCATCAGGATGGGTGTTACTGGTGAAAGGACAGCTGTATAGACAGAATTGAGACCTACACATACATGGTCAATTAACTTTCAACAAAAGGTCAGGTAACTACATGGAAAAAGCACAGTATTCAACAAATGGTACTGGTCCTATTAGACATCCATACAAGAAAAAAAATTCTCAACCTTTACCTCACCCCATACACAAAAATTAAGTTGAAATGAATCCTCACCCTAAATTTAAATGGTAAACTATAAAACCTCTAGGAGAAAATATTTGTGACTTTAGAGTAACCACAGATTTGTCAGATATGACACAAAGTACATTATAAAAAAAAAAAAAAAAGATAAACCAGACTTCAAAAACCAGATTATTAGTCAGGAACATGGATACCAGTCAGAATGCCTAGATTCAAATTCCAGCTTTGCCAGTATCAAGTTCTGCACCTCACCATTTTACTGTCTGTGTCTCAGTATTTTCCCCTTACCTGTATAATGAGATAGTACCTACCTCATAGTTAGTCAAGGACTGAATGAGATAATGTTTAAATATTTCCTAATATAATTAAGTACTCAAAAAGTATGTTTGCTACCTTCCTAAAATTTTTATTTAGTTAAAGAATTATCTATCCAAATTTCATGGCTCAAAATTTAGTATATTCTGAGTCTTAGAATTTTATTAAACATTGTATAAAGAATAAGAGTTTGGCTTCATTTTTTATTCAATTCTCTTTAAAGAAATGATCAAGAATAACAGGCATACAAATAAGAAGGGAAATAAGAAAAGGGGGAGGGGACACATTTACTGTGTACCTAATATAACCCCAGAAAGCAGGTGCTAACTCTTTTGCTCCTCCTACCAGGTACCTACAGAGAAACAAAGGATCTACATAAAGCTTATAATAAATCTTCCTAAGTAGCCTTTAAAAAGAAGTGCTGGCTTTCAATTTAAGATACTGGATTGGTGCCCAAATGCAAATGTCTCATTAAAAGTGAAATTCATGTTTAGAGAGATTAAATTGTTGTAAGGAACATTTGTAATGATTTAAATCAGAAAGTAGTATATTAAGACTCACAATGAAGGATCATCTCACCATAAACCATAGCACCCCATTACCTTCCTTAATGTTATAATCATGACTCTGGCTACATAAAAACATGCATCAGAATACCAGTAAATGAGAAGATTCAAGCTGTCAACCCTTTAGAGTTCCCAAAGTTATGAATAATGAGAATTCTTTGGCACCTATGCCATCTCTAAATATGGAGACAGAGGGACAATTCACTGCAAAGAAAGTCATTCTACAAATTTCTCTTAGTTCTTGCTTTCCCATAGTTCCCCAAAAGCAAAAAGCAGAACACAGTAAGAAGTGGTGGGAAATAACAGAAGACACTCCACAGGGAGTACGCTTACCTGTAATGCTTTATTCTCTTTAAGGTCCAACCCAAACACATTGTGCCGCTTCACCTTTAAGAAATCAGCATCAAGTCCATCATCATCCTCCTCCTCATCATCAGCTCTGTCCAAGAAGTGTATAGCAGTTTCCTTGTTCTTCCATGACTCATCAGTGCTAGGGACGAATTGAGGTTGAGACTCTTTTCCTTTTCCCAGTTTCTCTTCTATTTCTTCTTCATCTTCCTTCTCTTCTTCCTCATCACTAATGCCATTAGCCAGTCCATCCTCTGTCCCTTCTGCTCTTTTCCCACCTTTCTGAAGGATGGACATTTTCTCATTGAAGTAGGCTCTAAATTCTTCCACTTCATCATTGGTGAGGGAGGGAGCTCTTGGCTCACTTACTTTATTATCTTGGCTCACTACCAACTCTCTGGTGGGTTGTTTCTGCATTTTCTGAAGAAATCTTACCCGTGGTGCCACAGCAAGACCAAGAGACCTTAAACATGGGCAAATGAAAATAGTTATCTCAATATACTGATGGTGTGTTTATGGGTATTATGAAACAGTTTCTCAAGAGCTGAGGTTTATTTTTAGAGCTTTTTTCCCAAAGAAAGTGTTCCTCTGAGATATAAAATTCTGGCAGGTTAGATGATCCAAAAAGCAAGCCAAAATATACTGAATACCTGTCAGAAAATATTAAAGATACCCCATTTTTCATTAAGAGGTTAACATAAAGAGCATGAGACCAGAAACAAAGAAATGGTTCAAATACTAGATCTGCCTATTTCCAGTTTAACTCTGTCAGCCTCACTTCACAAACATAGGATCACAATACTTACCAGGTCTATCTCACAGTTGTTACAGAGATCTGATGTATAACTATATGAAAACACTTTGTAAAATGTAAATACTACAGCTGGAAATGACATGGCTATGAAAGGACAAAATATAGTTCTCTGCAAAGAAGAAATTCCAGTATCATCGTTCTTCCTTCTGAGACACATAATATGACATAATAACTTCTATAAAAAAGGATTTTTAAACCGGAGGTCAAAAAAAGAAAAATTTTCTACTTCTAAGATCAAAATTCACTTATGATCATGTCTTTCCCAGCTTCTAGTTCCACTGATGGATTAGAAATAAACTCTTAAAGCAAGGCCTGCTAGAACAAATAGCCAACATTACAACACGGATCACACTGCCTTTTCCTATCAAACATGATTCATAGAAACTAAAAGGTATAACGGTAAAGTTCAGATTCAGAAATAGGACTGTTAAGGTTCAAGTCCTGCCTCTGTCACCTACTAGTTGTGTGATTGATGGACCTCTCATACCTCGGTTCTCTCATTTGCAAAATGGCATGATAAAAGTACCTGCATCATAGGGTTGTTATAAAAATGAGTTCATACATGCAATGCACTTAAAACAGTGCCTGACACAGGCATATTGAATGAACACTTGTCATTATTACTGTTATGGGGGCTATGAGTTATATCACGAACTCATATTCATCAGAGTATTTCTTTCCATGTATAACAATTACATTTATATGTCTTTATCAACTATTAAAACTTGGAGCTCCTTTAAGGTGAGAGTACATACTATAAGTCTATAATTTTAACACCTAGCACAAAGAACTATACAATTATTGGAGATTCAAAACATGTTTCTTTAGTAAAATAATTTTCAAACCTTTATTATATCCTACATACATAGCACTGCTTTAGGTATCAAGGATTTCTAAAAGAAATTAAAGATCAAGGAAACTATACACCTAAACATCCACAAAAAGTAACTGAAAACACCAAATTAAACTATAGCAATAATTTAGGCTCAGAACTTTCTGCCTTCTCTAAGCATCACCAATAAAAAGCAAAGGTCTTCAACTATAAACAGATGAGATTTACTGGGATCCAGGGCAATAAAATATCCCCTAAATATGGCCTTGCAGTGTTTAAGGATCTGTGCCTCTCCTATTTGCTAATATCTCAGCTAAGTCACTCAAAAAAACCAGGACTGAACTTCTTCATCGAGCAAAAAATCAGCTAATAACCTAAACCATGATTCACATTCAGAAATGGTAAAATTAGTGACTGGTACATAAACATATAAATGAACAAAAACGTGTTATCGATGGCATGTGGTTTTCCATCAATTACCCAGAAGGTCAGTGGCCTTACTCTGTTACGTAGAAAATTAAATGTTTCTAAAATGTTAAAACTGACAAATTATTTGTTATACTAAATTTGTAATCTAATATGAAGAATAGAAAGCAGCAGCTCACTGAGATACAAGTTTTTATTAGACTCAATTTAAAGGTAAAGGTGCACAAATTTGTGGAGAACAGGCCAAATATACAAACCCTGCCTTGCAAGTACATATTTCATCACAGACTAGGAAACTTCATGATGAAATTCAAAGTATGATTAACCTCAAAGGTGCTTCTATTGATTTTTCAATGCTTTTCCCACAGATAGGAGCCCATTAAAAAAAGAACATTCCTCTTTCATAGCTAAAAAGATTAGAAAAATATCCTTCAAATACTAAGCCAAAACAAGACCAAGAGTTCCATTTTCATATAATAGTAATCTCAGTTACTAAACAGGAACATTTTGCCACAGTAACTGCGAGTACCTGTAAGAAATGCCAAGACACAAAGAATATTCAGGAAATAAATAGTATGGGAAACCAATCTAAAATGAGAGAAGAATTGATGAAGAGACCTGTATCCAACGCATAAAAATAACTGTCTACAGTAATCCAGGCCAGCGTTTCAGACAATAAGAGGGCTGCAGACACTAAAAGATTTCAAAGAATGCTTATCAGTTGCTCTCCATCTCCTTCAAGACCAAACTATAGGAAGCTGCCTGTATAACTTAGAGGAATTTAAACAAGTAAGAAACTTCTTCCTGACAAGAACTGAACACTCAACAAGTTTTCCACAGATTACAGAATCTTTTTCTCTGCATCTCATCTCTTAACATTAGGCAGAGTGGTTTAAACTAGGCTTGTCAGAGAACCAAGCTTCAAAGAAGTTCTCTCTAACTTTTAAGATTCACAAAACGATAATATGAATACTTACAGGGCATATTCAGGTATAGGTAACTTGCTCACATCAAATATTTCTTTATCCTTCATCAGATACACTGAACGTATGTAGGAGACAAAACACTGTAAAAGTAAGTTTAAATGACATAATAGTCAGAAAGAGAAAATGGATTTAAAGCAAGATAAAAGAAAATTAACTAAACAGATAAATTCAACAGTAATGAAAAATCTGAAAAATAATTTTTCCACAAAAACAAAAAACCTACCTTTTTAAAATTGTAATATTAAAAAAGACTTTAAATTTGGTTTCATTAAGCCAACTTAGAGAATATTATCTTCTCAAAAAGCTATTCAAGAAGTTAATATCATTCATTTGCAACATGGCATGACGGGAAAAAACATAGTTTTGGAACAACATGGATGATAATCTGAGCTCCAGAGCTTACTAACTGAGCAAGTTTGTTTCCCTGTCAGTTCCCTCATCTATCAAACAGAGATAATAGCACTTTCTACTTAGAGTATTACGAGAATTAAATGAGAAAATATGTAGAATATACAGGCACATTTTCTGGAATATACACAAGTAAGTACCAATAAATCCTAGTTCAGTTATAATTATTACTGTAGTAGTCAAAGGACAAGTTTTCCAGCAAAATAGATTTTACTGTATTTAATTAAGCTAATAAAGTCATGACAGGAGTTTTATTCCTAAAGCTTTTCCTTTTCTATCATAATTCGCCATCATTATAATTTCAAGAAATTTGTCATCAACTTGTGTTTTTGTGTTTTAAAAAAAAAAAATAATAATATCTTGATGGCAAGACCTAAACAAACCAAAATTTAAACATGGTCCTGACCCTTTGTCAGTTTGTAAAATAAGCAGGCAACAAAGATCATGAAACATCTAAGTATTTTTATTTTTTAATTTTAAAATTACTTTTTGTAAAGTATATCTAATTCCCATTTGTGTATTTATAAACTTCACATTTTTTCTAACTCTATACTAATCTTTTCTTCAAGACATTTACACTAATCTTCAAACCATTTTCCCTGTCTACACAGGAATAATGGTTCCAGGTCAAGGATAATTTTTTTCCCCTACAGTCATCCACAAGAAATCACCCCAGTTACTTATTGTTTTTGTTCTATCCAGATTATAATCAAAAGGTAGAAAATAACTTATATGAAACTAGATAGCTTGCTGCTGCTGGCAATACAGTTAGCCATTCTGCTAAATCATGCGTGAAACCCAATAAAGCACATCATTTATTTCAGTGTGCTATAATCTTCATCCTGGATGGTTCATCTGTTGCATGCACAAACCAGTGAAACAATATCCTTCCAATATTTCATATTTCCCAACTCATAATTAAATGACCTCCTAGGTATGCAATAAGTCACAACATAATAGAATTCATGTATATTATTTTTAAATTTGCTTATTATTTCCAAAACTTCTACAACAATTTAAATCCTAGCTAAAGTATGTCTGCCTGACAAAACATGCACACAAATGTTTGCAAGCCCAAATACATGCCCAAAAATTTTAAGAAAAAAAAATTTGTTTAAAGTCCCTTTTCATTAGATTTCAGGTGAAGTGAGCTTATAGAAGTCCTGCATAGTTCATTATTTGATTTTCTTATATTGTAGATTCAATTTCTCCTTAAGTATCATGGAAGTTCTGAAGAAAGCAGGGCCTGAATTTGCATCTCAGGTCTGCCACTTAATAACTATGTGACCCTAGACAATTTTTAATTTTGTCAAGGTACTATTTACTCATCTATAAAATCAAATCAATATCACCTACCTCACAGGTTGTTGGGAATATTAAAATAACAATGCACAAACTGTCACACATAAGAGTCATGTCACGGCAAAGTGCATAGCACATAGTAAGCATTCAACTTTTAGCACAGTGATGATAATTTGATAAAATATAAGTTAATTTTTATAAGATCTCTTTAAATAAAACCTCTTTGCTGAAAATATCTGGTTTTAAAACCATAACATAAAAGCCTAACTGACTGTTTTTCTGCCCAGACTCTTCTATCTACTTAGGATGCCCTTTCCATAGCCCCTCTATTTTCTTCCTCCCACTTCCTCTATCTGCTGAAATAGGATCCAACCTCTAAATCCCTACTTTCTAACTCATTGTTGATGTGTTATGGTAAGTGCAAAAGTAGATATCATATGTAGATCTCCTAACTACAATATAAGTAAAAGAGTGGTGAAAACAAAGAGCTTTATATCAGAGATTCAAATATTCGTCAATTCAAAGATTGGATAGCTGTAAGCACAATGAAAATTAATTTCATATCTTCCTTTCTAAAGAATCTACTGTTGGGTACTCTAAGGACTAAAATATATGTTTAATTAAAACACTTGTTTGTGTATTTGCTAATTGAGAGGATTTCTAAGTCCAGAAAAGTAATTTGAGAACATTAAGTCATATTTATAGATTAAAATCTCATTCCTAAAGACAATTTAGCAAAAGTGTTATGCTTTCTAGAAATTAAACCTAATATAAGAAGAGATATTAATCTCACAGTCAATAAAGTACGATCAGGAGTTAAGAGTAACTTTACTGAAGAAATCAAAAGTTGGTAACTTTTTTAAGTATATTAGAAATCAGGCCTCTATGTATTTGAAAATCATCTTGAAGAGGATTTTCTATGTATAAGTAATAGACATTTTCCCAGATTACTATAAGAAATATATGATTTTTTTAAAGTTAAAGGATAAACTAATCTGAAAATTATACTGCTTGAATATCTGAAGCATTACCATGAAAACCAGAGGTAGCAGAAAATGATGGAATTTAACTTTATTATATGCTCCATTACAACAAAGGTATCCAATTCAAAAATGACTTACCCTTTGAGCTCTTTCTTTTAAATCTTGATCTTGAGCTAAAAATGATTCCAATTTTTTCTGGACATCTATAAGTTTTTCTGGATTGATTCTTTGTAACAAAAAGATAAAGGTTAAACTAAGACATCTCAATTTTAGAAACTGAAAACAGTATACTATATTCCTCAGTATTTTTAAATCTGTAACATTATTTCTCATCTACGAGCCAGATTAGACTGAGATTAAACCAGACATAAATCTGACTCTCTTACATGATGAATAATGCAGGAAGAATAAATGAAAGATCAAACATCTTCTCTAAACGTCACATGCTGAGTGAGCAAAAGATACTAAGGTTATTTCTACAAATAGCATTGGTTACTTCTTAAGACTATAAAGTTAGAAAGTAGCCTCTCATGGGAGATGGATCATGAATGAAGTGGAAAAAATGAAATCTAATATCATTTGTGTATTTCCATTTTCAGTCAAATATCATAAAACTAACTTCAAATTAATATGGTTTTCTTTATCTGGATATTAGGCATGATATAAAAGACTTGTTAACTAGATTCTGCCCAGGAAGGCTACAGGAAAGAATGAAATACTTACATGGGTCTGAATTTCACAAAAGAAACCCCATTTGTTTTCCTGATTTTAGACTGAACTACTTTCTTCCTGAAAACGTGGGTGATGATAGGTGATTATAGTAGATAAGGTCGTTTTTACTTTTCTTTTAATTATAAAAAATTTCAAAATATACAAAGGTAGAAAACTTTCACTCAGACTCAACAATTACCAACAATTACCAACTCATAGACAATCCTGTCTCATCTAAATCCTTTCCTATTCCTGCCCTCAATTAAACAACCTTCCCAATTATTTTCCTCTAAATAAAAACCAGGGTGTTTCAAGGACCTCAATACAAAGGAGACTCTGATAAATTCCACTGACATTCAATCTGAATATTTTTGATGATAGAAGTACAATCCTGATTGTACTTTCAACCATCGATGCCTCCTGAAGCTAATAAGTTCTCCTTTTCATCTTATCTTCTCCACTAACAACAGTCTTCTGAAAAATTAAAAACAAAAAAGTCATAAACCAGACAGCAAAAAAGAATAGAAGAAGGAATTAGGTATATATAATTAAGCATAATTTCATGCCTTCAATATCCTAACAATAATATCAAGACACCAAATAGTTCTTACTTGATTGCCTTCACAGGCACTTTCTTCTGAAGAAGCTGCTGTACCATCCCTTTTTCTTCTGAGGGGAGCAAAATTAATAAAGCTTCACCATCCTCTTTATACCTAAACAAAAAAACAAACAAGATCTCTTCACATCAATGCAATCTGTATTTTATATTTTAACAGTTTGATAAGTAGGTAACATGTAAGCAAGTTCATCTAATTTGTAAATATTAGAAATATCATTTTTTTGAAATGTGACAACAGAAAACTGGAACTCCGAATACCTTTTTCAAATTTTCATCACTAGTTATAATTCCTAGTGACTCTGAGGCTATACCACAAGAACTAGATCGATCCTAAGAAACAAAACAATTAAATTTCTTAAATAGCATTCTACTTATAGCAAGATGACAATTTCTCATTCAAGCCACTAGAATATTATAATAAAATTAGTCATTTAATAAACATGGAATCCAATACATTAAAGAAATCTAATCTTCCTGGGGATTTGACCTATAAGAAATAGATCTCTACCCAGGTAAAAAACTTGCCTCCAATCCATGTACTTCTTTTCCCTTACCTAGTAAAATCTTATTTCATAATGTGCCATCAGAAATTTCTATATAAGCAGGCCACAAGGCACTCATAGTTACTTAAACTTCTTGTGCTACCTGAACACAGATTTCCCTGACACCTTATTCTCAGCTACATTACGTGCAAGCAATAAGAGAGAACAGAATTGGATATCTGTGGGAAAATTTTTTTATTAATTTTTATTATGGTCTATGGTAATTTTTTAAAGACACAAAAGAAAAAATAATTTCAAAGCATTCTCTTCAATGGTTCATACTATAAAACATGAGCGGTAAGTTTTTAGAGTTAATCAAATAAAATTATTTCCTGAGAAAGTATGCCAGGAATAAACTGTAAAAACACACAAAAAAATAGAAAATGACTACCCATCCCTCCCCGACTTCAGTGATTTAACAATCCAGTTGACTAGAAAAGATAAACACTCAAAAGCAAGAGATTCAAAAAAGAGGCCTAAAATGGTAAACGAGTAAGTGTCAAAGGACAACCACGGGCAATAAATAAACACCACAAACTCAGAATTGAAGAGACATCACTCAGGGTTAGCAAGAAAAAAACAGAAACAGGTCATAACAGATGGAATTTGAGGTGGAACCTAAAAATGGATAGAAAGAAAAAAAGCTAAAGTATCCCAAAGGGAGAGAATAGCATGAACAAAGGAACATTAACCACAAAATACAAGGCAAACTTAGAACTAAAGATAGGTGAAACTCAACCAAAGCCAGTGTACATAAGTAAACTGTAAGAAAGACTGCTAGAAAGGTACATAAGAGTCTGGTTTGGGAGGACCTTGGATGCATCTGTTTAGAGAGACAAAACCACTGTACATGAGCAAAACTTTATCATTGAACGCTGGAGGGAAAAGTTGACTTTGTTGATTTATTGTACCATACTATAAAAACTAAAGGGCAATTTTTAACCTCATATATTAATTTTAAAACTCCACTCCTACGCATAAGGTGAAACTCTAGTGTAATACCTTTACAGAAGTACATAAAAGAGTGTCTATAGAAAAGTATGAAATAAATCAAAACTGTTAAAAGTTTTAAATTAATTCATACATTTTTAAGACTTTAAGGGGCCACTATATGCCAAGCACTAAAATAGTGTGATAAAACAGACATAGTGCTGGCTGTCACAGAGCTTACAGACTACTAGGGATAGACATCAAAACCAGGAGTAACAATAAAGTGGTATGAATGTTATAGTAGACATACAGGAAATTATGAGAACATGTAACAGACAACTCTACTGAATGTAGTCTAGGAGTCAAGAAAACTGCCCCAAGGAAATGGTATCTAAGAGCTGAGACCTAAAAGAACAATTAAGAATTAATCAAACATTAGAGAGAGTCAAGTTTTCCAGGTGGAAAAGGCATCAGTTGAGAGAGTCTAGGAGTTTGTCTTCTTCATGCTTATTTGCTTTTTCTAGGTGTTCTAAATGCACGTGTATTAAAGAAGAATAAAAAAGTAAGGCTAAACACACATTTACTCTTTTTACTAAATGTTTTATAACAGGAAAACTACTACCAAAAACCTTCCTCATTGTATTTTAATAAGGCTTGCATGACTCAAATGTTTCATCTTTATTTCCCATAAAGAAATATGAATTTAAAGCATCCCCCCTAAGCAGTGTTGGACTAACTATCTGTGAAGGCAAAAATTATTAGTATATGAAGTAGTGAGGCAACAGCCTGAGAGACCTGATACCTGAGAGACATCACAACTTCTGAAGCTCCAGGATTTCACTAGGGACCAGTTACAGGTCAAAGAGGACAGACCTGACCACTACGTAGTACACTTACTATAAAATGCCCTCAAGGTAGCTAGACTCAAAGTGGAAACAATTACCATAATAAGCAAAAAGACTTACTTTGTGTGGCCCAAAGAGGAACAATTAAGAAGGAGGGAGATCAGTGGGTTGAAGGATACCCTTTTAACATTCTATATACAAATTCAGAAATGGAGAGAAAAATAAATAAGTCCTCCAGTCACCGTAGGGCCAGAATTGAGGCAAAAGGGTTAAAAAAAAAAAAAAAGGCTCTAGGATATCAAAAAGGCATCCACTAAAGATCTCTGATCTTCAGAATGAATCATAAACAGAAATAATAAGTCTAATAATCTACATCTATCTTATCTACTCATTCATGCTCCCAGGGAGAATCTGGGAGAATGATCCAAGATTAAAGTCACAAGAGGGTCATAGCCAAATCTTTTAAAACTGTACCTACAGAATATACATAAAGGCAACACAAGGTTAAGACAGATTGCAGCACTGAAATACAGAAGATTCTCAATGGAAAAATGGGGGGGGAAAGTCCAAAGTCAAATAGCATAAGGCAAGCATCTAATAAAAACATTTTACCTATTTTACATCACAGCTTTACCCAGAAACAATGGAAAGCACAAATTATCTCCCACACACCAACACCCAAAAATTTCCAGTAAGCTTTTATTTCAAAAATAAAAGCACTTTAAAAAAAAACCATAAGCACATTTCACTTTTCTTTTTTAATGCTTACAAGAATAGTTTATTCACCCATGAGCTAGCTTTTAGATTTCAAAAGCAATATCCAAGGCCCAAGGCTAAGTATATGTATAAAGAGAAACAAATGTTCTTCATCAGGCCTACATTTTTAAAATTCCATATATTTAGACAGATTATTTTCAGAGACATTCTAGGCATCATATAAAAAGCCCTACATCTGAAACACAACAAAAATCTCATTTTCACCATCAGTATTAATACCATGTTACATTTACATAGCTCTTCAGAATTTATAAAGAGCTCCATTTTATATCAATTTGTCAAACTTAAAAGCAAGCAATCAATAGAGGAATACACTTTTAGAAATACTGCTTTAGAGTGAGCATGTGTGTGTGTGCGTGTCTGTTACCCGTCCAAAGTCCATGTGCCCGACACTTTGAAAGGCCAGAATTCAAAATGTCAGAGTTTGGAGTAAGGACAGGTTTATTGATCCAAAAAGTGCCAACTGAGAGGATGCCCCAGATCCATCTTAAGAAAGCACAGAGTTCAGGCTTCTTTTACATCAGGGAAGAGGAAATTGCGGTTTGCATGGGAGAAAAACACTGACCATTACATATCAGAGATTTTAAATTTCCAATTCATTGCTTTTTTTCAACTATAACAGGATCTCCTCCAGAAAGAAGGAAACTTAATAGACTGATCATGATTGTCAGATATCAGGAAATTTATGTCTACATCCTAAAGCTCACTAGTATTTCTAGGTAAAATAGGAGATCCAGACCTTTGGCTTTTGGATCCCAATGGCAATTCTTCCACTGAAATAACTTTGAAATAAACTGTGGCCAGAGGAAGGGAAAACAGCCTTACCAGGCCCTCCCATCATGCAGCCCTATCCAAGCCATGTCCAATAGTGTCCTCGGTATGCCCTGTGCTCCTTGCTGAGCAGCTCCAAGCCCCACATTGACAGCAGCTGGCATCGTTTTCTGGCATATCCTTTTGAGGAAACTACAAGCACAGCCCAGTGGCAGCCAACTATGATTGCTTGCTGACTCTTACCAGGTGGCTCCAGAGGGGCATAGCCTGGGGATAAACTTGGCCTGCAGCTGAACCCCTCTCAGGACTGTGCCATTGGGCCTCACAAAGCCACGCTACTAAGAACGAGAAATTTAGGAGCTTTACATTATACAAAGTAACAGATACAGAAAGGCAGCCAAAATGGGGAGACAAAGAAGCATGTCCCACATGAAAGAACAGAACACGGTTCCAGAAAAAAATCTAAACAAAGTGAAGTCAAGCAATCTAACAGATGTAGAGTTCAAAACACTGGTTATAAAGATGCTCAATGAACTTAGGTAAAGGGGAGATGAACTTAGTGAGAACTTTAACAAAGAGATAAAAAACAAAAACAGAGGTGGAAATTACTATAGGGAACCAGTCAGAAATGAAGAATACAATATCTGAGATGAAGAGAACATTAGAAAGAATCAACGGAGTGGATGAAGAGGAGGATCGAATTACTGATATAGAGAATAAGGTAGTGGAGGACACCCAAACACAACTACAACAAGAAAAAAGAATACAAAAAATGAAGATAATTTAAGGAGACTATGAGACAACATCAAGCCTAACAACATTTGCATCATAGCGTACCAACCAGAAGGAGAAGAGAGCAAGAAGTTAAAAATCTGTTTGAAGGAATAATGATGGAAAACTTCCCTAACCTGGTGAAGGAAATGGACATACAACCACAGGAAGCTCAGAGATTCCCAAAAAAGATGAACCCAAAGAGGCCCACACCAAGACAAATCATAATTAAAATGCCAAAAGTTAAATACAAAGAGAGAATCTTAAAAGCAACAAGAAAAAAGCAGTTAGTTACCTACAAGGGAGCACCCATAAGACTAGCAGCTGATTTCTCAAAAGAAACTATGCAGGACAGAAGGGTCTGGCACAAAATATTCAATGTGATGAAAACCCAGGATCTACAACGAAGATTACTTCATCCAGCAAAGCTATCATTCAGAGTCGAAGGACAGATAAAC